CTCCCCACCCGCAGCTCCCTGTGCGCCGGAAGCCCTCCTTCCGGGAAACCCTGAGGCCGGGCGAAAGGCCTTTGTTTAAATCAGAGCTCCAGCACTTAGCTGTGGGACTTCTACAAGTGCCTTTAGTTCTCTATACCTCAATTTTTCCATCTATAAAATGAATAGTAGCACCTAGTTTTAGCATTGTGAAGACTAAGTGAGGTTGTGTGAATAAAGCATTATCACAATGCTGGAACCTGGGAAATGTAAGTGGGAGGTAGTTCTTACATCTCCACCCTTCTCATCTCTTCTTACACACACAGAGCAAAAACAGAGTTAGCACAACATGTGGAAAGGACAATGGAAATAGTGTGGTCAGGACAAAGCATTTACACTGACAGGTAATCATAGGTATATGAGACCCAAGCATTGAGGCCTCCGGATTCTACCTAGAGAAGTTTGAAGCACATTTCAACTGAGCCATGGAAGGCCCTCAGGAAGTGAGAGAAGCTTGATTATGCCCTGGAGGATGATGGATTGGCCAGGACAGAAAGGTCCTGGAGTGGGTGGGAGGAGCCAGGTACTGAGGGCTGCAGGAGGGGACAGCATTCAAAAGCAGAAGAACCACTGAGGGGAGGAAGAATGTAGCCACACAGGAAGGTTCTGGGGTAGAGGTGGGGATAGGCACACACCACAGGCACAGGAAGAGGTCCTCCCAAGAGTGAGGAACAATAGGGAGGAGAGATGAGGCCTAAGAAAGGGGCATGTGCATTATACCTCCTCCTTGCAGACTGCTTTGAGGATCCAATAAAAACGAAAGCAAGATTGATGACCATAGGGGAACACAGGACCTTAGTAAGATTCATTCTCTTTTTACAGGATGGCTCTAGAGTTTTGGTTGCAGAACTAGATGGGAGGAAGTAGGTCTCCCTGCACCACAGACCCAGAACAAAAGCCAAGCCCTAGGGAGGCGGGCAGTGAGGACTTTAAAGGAGTAAGTGGACCATACATGGCGGGCCAAGAAAGGTGACCTCAGAATGTGTCTGTGAGCGCCTGGGTCCCTGCCAGAGACTGTGCCTCCAAGCAGGTCTCAGCTGCTTGGGAATAAACTCACGTGACACCTTTTCTCTTACTTTCTTTACTATAAGTAGGTGTTTATTTTAAAATAAAGTCAATTTGGAAATAATTGTTCAGAAGCAGAGGCATCACCACAGTGGTATGGAGTATGCGAGGTGCTCCAGGCTCTGGCTGGGTCTGCTGGCTTTGTCACGGTTGGTTACAGGATCAGATCACTGGATAATACGGGCTGGGCCTCCAAAAGGCCCGGTGGAACCAGTCTTACATAAACTTGGCCCAAACTTCCCCTAGTGTCAGGTTAGGTGTGGTTTTAAGGAACTTTAAAAATAATGATAAGTGGGAGAGGTGCCTCTAACTGTTCTCCGGAGGCCACGAAAAGCCTAAACAGAGAAAATTCGGTGCTGGAGCTAGGAGAGAGCCTGCAGCCCCTGTGACACCAGCCTCACTACACGGGCAAGTGGGCAAAGCGGAAAGACTTGAGGTGCAGGGCAGGCCAGTGCCCCTACACTCAGACTGAACCCTGTCCTTCTGTCACGAGGTATCTCACTAACACAGGGCAGGTCCCACATGAAAAGACTGGTCTCAGGGCCACAGCAGGAAGCAGAGCCAGGAGCCCAAGATGCGGCTACAGACCACAGCAATAAAAAGCACAGGCTCACCAGACATGGTGGCACACTGCTGTAGTTCCAGCCTCTGGGAGGCTTAGGCAAGAGGATGCAAAATTGGAGCCCAGGATGAGATCCTGCCTCAACATAAATAGGACTGGGGCTCTAGCTCGTTGCAAAGGTCCTGGGTTCAATTCTTAGTACCACAGAAGGAAAAGAAAGAAGACAAAGAAAAAGAAGAAGGAGAGAAGGAGGAAGAGAGGTAGGGAGAGAGAGACAGACAGAGACAGAGACTCAGAATAGGATTGTGATTCTGAACAAGATACTTAAATTTTCTGTGCCTCAGTTTCCCCATCAATAAAATAGGGGATAATCATACTATTTGTTGTGAAAGTCAGGTTAACAGATGAATGTAAGTTACTTAGGATCATACCTCAAAAGTAGTAAAATGACCAGCATGTGTTAATAATTATTATTACTTTTTTGTGCAAAGGCTCTGTGACCTGTAAAATCTTATGGAAATTCAGGATTTGCCATAACTGTCACCAGTGATGGCCTCAGCTCCACCCACAGCCTCACTTCTTTCTTCCTCCCTCCCCATTCTGTGATTTTCGGCAGCAAGACATTTCCATAGGACAAGAAAGTGCAATAAGAAGAGCATGCCGTCTTCCCTCCTCTCCTTCCCCAGTGCTCATCTCGAAAGCCAGGAAGAACCTCCGGCCGCACACCCTGCCCCTCATGGGCACCACTAGGTGATGGAGCACTTAAGTTGGCTGGAAGCCTGGGGGGATACATCCCTTTCTCTTTCCCATCTTCAAGAAAGTGTTTCCTGCCCCACTTAGATCTAAGCAGTAAGTAAGGCCCATGGTTTGCCAGAGATGTTGCTGAGTCATGTAAGTGGAAATTAGAAAATATACCTCTTCCTCAAGTCACGTTTCCTCCACGTCGTTAGAACACTATAGCTTACTGCCCCTGTGCAGTGCACAACCTGCATAACCGTAGGTGGCAGCCCTGTGGCCTGTATTCATTCATCCCTCTTCCTGTTTAGGTCCTGAAGCACCTTCGGCATCTAAACTTTACCAGCAATATAGGGGAGCAAGTAACTTTTGACGAGTGTGGTGACCTGGTGGGGAACTATTCCATCATCAACTGGCATCTCTCCCCAGAGGACGGCTCCATCATGTTTAAGGAAATTGGGAATTATAACGTCTATGCAAAGAAGGGCGAGAGACTTTTCATCAATGAGAAGAAGATCCTGTGGAATGGCTTCTCCAGGGAGGTACGTGTTGTCTGTAAGAATGCCAGATGCCCCCTCCACAGACAGGAGACTGAGCTGGGTGTTGGGAGGGCCCGGGGCTCCACCCTGAACTTCCAGAATGAGGAGTACTCTCCTTAACTCATTAATTAACTAACTCACTCTGCATGTCCAGGGCTCCTGTGAGCTCCTGCAGTGTTTAATGTACAAAGGAGAGGCCTCAGAACCAGACCCCCATGCCTTCTTATTATATTGAAACAATTTAACTTTATAAAAATACAAATGACTGGCTACTGATAGTTTCCCTAGCTAAAACTTTTTCTAAACCAGAGAAAAATACTTAAGCAAACATAAACATCTATGGAGTCAATAGCTGTCAACTGGGACAGAGAAATCCACCCTCCCTATTTTGGGTAGGTGAGACAGGTCTGAGAGTGGAGGGGACTGCTTTTCGTACATCACAATGACCAGAAGTACTAGTGGCCTTCCACACTTGGGTCCAGACATGTTAAATGTCCAGCAGGATAATCTTGCAAGACAAAGATTTACCTCCCATCTCAACTGCCACCCACAGCCATTGGGAGACCCAGAGGTGGGTGCTGCAGGAGGAGGTGCTGGTTGTTACCACCATGGTCAGTTGAAAGTTATCCCATCCACGGTGCACAAGTCTATGAGAGCTTCTACCTCACAGAAGTAGCTTCCTTTCATCCACATAGCTCAGAACAACATATAAGTCAAAAGGACCATTTATTCTCCTACAGTGAGAGATCTGTAACAAGGACACAGACACTTGTGAATATGGCCAGGGCCTCCTTCCCCGCATATCACTGGATCTATAAGCCTGTGAGGTAACCAGAAGTCCCTCACTTAGTGAAGATTCACATAAGCGAAAGACTTCTGATGTGTTGCATTGATGACTCTCTGATTGCTGCATTCTAGAATGTAGCTGGATGCTGGAGACCCAGCTCAGCAAAAACACAGGCCCTGGGTTGGGCATCATGTTTAACTCTCCCTGGAAACCTGGCTGAGATCCACCACATTTGTCTTTGAATTTGCCTTTCTGTTGTTGTCTTTGAGCATCTTGAACCACCTTGTATGTCATGACCAAAGATTTACCTTTATCTTGTTATGCTTCTTGGGTTGATGGTGTCTACTGCAATGCTCTGATTTCACCATTTCCCAATAGATAGACTGGGGTACCCTTGGGAAGGTCATCTAGACCTTCCCCATCCACAGTGTGCAAATCTTCGTGAGCTTCTACCTCAGGGGATGGAGTCTCAGTTACAGATGGAGCTTTTGGGGTTCCAGAGCTTACACTCTGCCCACTGCTTTTAGTCACTTATGTTCCTGAATAGTTACAGAGTTACAAATATAAATTTTCCATACAGTCCTTACCTCAAAGCTAACCCACAATATACACTCAACAAATCATAGGGTCTAATCCACTCTTTCTTTCCTAAACTTTTTGTAGAAATTACCACAGAAAATATTACCTACAAATGTAGGTAATATAAATCATATTTTAATAACTTCACTGAATATCTCAAAAAATTATTAGTGAGATCAATGATATGAAAGCATATTACAAGCTGAATTATATACATAAATACAAAGTGGTATTTATATACATTACATCTATTTTTCAGTGTTGGGGATGGCACCCGGGGCTGTCGGACTTCTCATCAAACTCTGTTCAGGGTGAACAGATCCCCGAACTAGGTGCTCGCAGATGTATAAGAAAAGTAAGAAAAAATCAAACCAAGAGAGCCAAAATTCTGTGATCAGGTGCTAGCAGCCTCTAGGACTGACTGACCCCTGATGACCCTCTTCAGTAACCTTTTATTCAGAATCCACCACAGGGGCAGCAGAGGAATCTGAGAATATCAACTGTTTTAGCACGGACAATACAACTCAATTATCATAGGAATGCGACCCGACCAGTAAGCCATTGTGTTATCTTCCTTCGCCCATATCTCAGCAAAGCATCTAGTATTGATCCAGGGGCTTGCAATGCTTATGCTAGACTTCCTCCAGAATCCAACGATCATGGCTTGGTCAGGCCTCAGGCAATACACAAAACAGTAACTAAAGATCGTCCTTCTCCACACAGGGCCTCCTATCCTAAGCACATTGTTTTCCACTAAACTACACCTCCAGCCCTCTAGCATTACTGTGTGTCTGTACTAATCAAGGAGCAAGGTTTTATATCCTTGCTTGTATATCTTCCTTTAGGGGTTGGAATTTAGATGGGCTTCCTTGGCAGACATCTTTGAGGATCACTAGGGAGTCTGGGAGATACTAGATGGCTTTTGTATAGTGGATCTATCTAGTGGCTACCTCAGCCCACTCTTGTGATGATAGCATTTCTCTTTAACTGACAGATGTTTAAGTAGGAAGGAAGAAAAGGCACAGGTGACATTCTCCTAAGCTTTATTAGCTATTATAAAGGGTAGACATTGAAGATTGACCTGGGTGTGACTCTCACTGTCCATCCGGGTCACTGTATGAGCTTAAGTTTTTTCTTTAACCACTGGCAGGAAAAGAAAAAGAGCCAAAGCTAAAGGGGCTGCTAAAACCCCTCTGTGTTTGTACTTTCCTTTTTGTTTAATAACGGAACTCATGACCACCCATCATAATAACGCTGTTCCCAGGCTGCTGTCTTGCTAAAAGTGGCTGTGCAGCTACATCCTGGAGAATGAGAAGTGGCAGTGTTGTGTAATAGCATCTGGAAACCCTTCGAAAGTGCTTTTGCCAGGCATGGTGGTAGCACACACGGTGATCTCAGCACTCTAAGGGCTGGGATAAGAGGACCACAGGTCAAGGTCTACCTAGTGAGACCCTGAGCTACATCGTGAGACCCTGTCTCCAAAAAAAAGTGCTTACAAGCATTCTTTGTTTTCTCCTTTGTCCCTTCATATATCTTCCCTCCTGGAAACCACATGCCACTGTTTTGTAAGGACTACTGTAGTTTAAATCCAGAATACGTCCCCAGAGACTCCTGTTTGGAGGTGAGGCCTTGGGAGGTGAGGCCTTGGAAGGTGATTGGATCATGGGGTGCTATACTCATCAATGAATTAATCCACTGGCGCACCCAAAGCTGTACGTGCTGTCGGCAGGGAGGGCCTGCTTGGAAGAGGCGGGTCACTGAGAGAGTGCATCTCCGTCTCCAGCCCTCCCCTTTGCTCTCTGCCTCAAGGCCTTCCTGACGTGAGCAGCTTTCCCCTGCCAGACCCTTTCACTACGCGGATCCCGCCTCAGAGCTATCCACTTATAGGTCGAATCCTCTAAAAACCGTGAGCCCAAGTAAGCCTCTCCTCTTTTAATGTGTTGGGAATTGTGTCTCCACAATGGGAAAAGAACCCTGACAAGGACCATAAGGCCAAAACCTAACACACCAGACAAATAAGGTAGAAAGAGTGTAGGTCTCCAGACCCATAGAATACCCTGTAACTCTGGACCGTGTCCCTAGACATTTATGCATCTCGTTTCCCAGGGCATGGCTGAGTGCAGAGAAAAGTACATTTCAGTCTTGTTGCAGCCATCATTATTTTGAGATTTCTAACACTAATAGCCTAACAGAAACCAAAGGGAAAGCTACAGAGTTCACTTTATGAGGCCAGTAAGATCTCAATACCACAAATGGACAAAAACAATACAAGAAAAGGCAATATTTGCTGTATTAGCAATCTTGCTGAATAAGATATAATTTTATTAAGCAAGGTGTTCAAATCCTAAATATTGGTAAACCTAGACTAGCATTGTATAAATACATGATACAAAATGACCTGGAAGTGTTGATAGGAAATTTACTGGGATGGAATAATATTACAAACTTCAATAGACTAAATATTATAAACTTCATAAATGTAGCTTATCACTTCCACAAAGTAAAAGATAAAAGTTCTAGTATAGCAGCAACACACACATTCAGTAACACTCCACACTCTTGCAAATTAAAAGCAAGAACTTCACAAATCTACAAAAGAAAGGATGCTTAATTTGCCTTTCCTTAGGATGGCAACCACTATTCCTTTTTAATAGGGAAAATTTGAGAGCACTCTTAGTGTTAAGTTTGCAAAGCATGATCCTTGGCCTTCATTCCACAATCAGATGGATGGGTTACTCAAGAAGGGTAAAGAGGACATCTCTGAGGGCACCTGGTCACCCGAGCAGGACATGTGCATGTGAATTGTCCATGACTCTTTGCTTTCTTTCCCAAGACTGCACAAATCTTAATCATCAGTTCAATATCGAGTCCTCTTTCACTAGAGGAGAATATGGATCACTTTCCGTTCAAGTTTTTTTTTTTAAACTCCTTTATCAGGCCAGTTATTTATTTTCTTCTAGGAGCATTGGCAATGACCATTTCATTTATCATTTTCTGTGACTTTAACTTTGGCAGATGCCTTACAAAGTAGGTAGGTGGGGAGGAGACTTATGAAAGAGACATTTTAGAAAAACATGAGTCTTGCAAGATATTAAGTACTATTCAAAGTTTTATAACTGGAGTTACAAAGATAAGTGATATTTGCTTCATACCTTTAAGACACTTTTTTTTTTTTTTTTTGCAAGATAGGCTTTCTTCTTTTATACCATTGTTCCTGATTGTTAGGTAGTAAATAGTAAATTCTAAAGTAGTCAATTACCTGAACTCACAATGATTGTCCACCCTCAGCCTTCCAAGTGCCGGGATTACAGGTGTGTACCACGGTGCCTACCTTTTCTGGATTTTCTGTATGGTAATCACCTGAGCTATAAGTGGTAACTCCTTTCTGACATGTAGGGCCTTCTGTTTTCCCTTATTATTCCAGTATTCTTTTATACCTATTGTACAGACTGTTAGGTAGTAAATAATAAATTCTAAAGTAGTCAATTAACTGAAGTGATCAAAGAATGAGATAAAAGCAGAACTTCTAAAATTATGGAGCAATGATAAAAGTAGACAAAACTGTCAGATATAACCACTTAAGAACCTGAAATTTAACTAAAAGCATACATTGAAAAAAGTCAAGTATTTTTGTTTAAGAAAACTAATGAAACTCTAGTAAGAACAGTGGCATGCTGTGGTGTTTTAGCATAGGGCTGCTCTGCAATTATTCTTAATAATTTGGTTGTTTTTTGGAGGTTGGTTGGTTTGTTGGTTGGTTTTGAGACAGGACCTTGGTATATATTCCAGGCTGGCCTTAAACTTACTATAGTTTGTAGCCCAGGCTGGCCTCACACTCACAATGATTGTCCTACCTCAGCCTTCCAAGTGCTGGGATTACAGGTGTGTACCATGCTATAAGTGGTAACTCCTTTCTGACATGTAGGGCCTTATGTTTTCCCTTATTATTCCACTAGCTAAGATCTCCAGTGCAATATTGAATAGTGGTGATAGTAGACATCTTTGCTGTAAAAGAAATGCTTTTAATATTTTCTCACATAGAATGATGTCTACTGTAATTTTTTGAGACAAGTTCCAATTATGTTGTTTGGGCTACCCCTTAAACTCTTGGGTTTAAGACATCCACCCTCCTCAGCCACCTGAGTAGCTGCAACTACAGGCACACACCACCATGCCCTGCTTACTTATAGCTTTTCTAATATCAAACTTGTCTATATGCCCAGCATAAATCCAATTTGATCATGATATACTTTCTTTGTTATGTCTTGTCTTATGTTTGCTACTTCTTTTGCTATTTTTCATCTGTTTTTAGTTGTGTGAAATAGTGGTGCTCTTCTCAGGTTCCCTTGGATTGCTTAAACTTTGCATGCACCAGAATGACTGGATGTTTTTATGTCCATGGCCAGGGTTCTTTTTCAAGATAGGTGGTAGCCTAAGGGACCCACTTTGCCCACGGACTCAGAGAGGCAGAACCTAGGATTTTACATTTCCCTGTGACAAGATATAGCCAACGAGTGATGCCGCAGTATGAAACCCCAGCCCGTTCCCCTCAGATAAGACCAGCTGAAGAACAGCCCACAGTTCATGAGATGCACCCGTATCTTTTTTTTCTTTTTCATAATGTTTTTGTCTGATTTTAGTGTCAAGGTTATTATATCAGCTTTACAGAAATGAGTTAAAGAATATTCCCCTTTTTCTGATTCTCTGGTAGTTTGAATAAGATTGGATGGTGCTGTTCCTTCAAAATTTGCCTATGGTGAACACAGGATTATCGTGGTGGACGTAGGAGTAATGGAAGCACAGGGTTAGATAGAGATTACTGTTCCATTTCTAATTTTTGCTTTAGATGATAGATTTAAAAAATGACTAAAATGAATTCTAACACAGGTCAATAATGATGGAAGGATTGTGATTAGTTAATCAAATGCTATGCACCTGAAGTCCATTAAGGAACTAAACAAATAAAATCCATGTTGTCAGAAACCAATGGCTCCTGTAGGTTTCATCTGGTTAATAGTTGCCTGGTACAGCTCTCTGGTCTATTTACTTATGATTCTTCTACGTCTAATCTGACTGCCTCACTTTGCTGTTGCAAGGATCTCAGAAATCACTAAAGCCTAAAATTAAAATGCAGGAATTTTAATTCATTGCCAAGTTCAGATCCAACTTTCAAACAAATTTCCTCTCCTCACAGGACCTCCCTTTGTGCCTGAACATCTGTGTGCAGCCCCATGTCCTATATCTTTTAGTTGTCTCCAGCTTTTACATGCATGGAGAATAAACAGGTGCCTCCTTCTCAGACCTGGAAGGGAAGGGAGGGGAAGTTATTTAAGCAGTATTTTGTTCACTGTATAAATTCCCAACAGTCATCTTAGAAACCCCATAGATGTCCATGTGCGTGTGCGTGTGTGTGTGTGTGTGTGTGTGTGTGTACACACTCACCCATAGGCATCTGTCCCTTTCACAGATAGCAGGACCAGGGACCCCTGCAACAGGCCCAGCGTCTACAGTACTGGTTCTTGTGCCCCAACCCCCCCCCATTGCATGAGGCCAAAGGGTCTGTAGGAGGGGCCCCAGACCCCACAACCACAGCCACCCACTTCTGTGCATTCTGCCCTCCAGGTCCCTTTCTCCAACTGCAGCCGTGACTGCCTGGCAGGGACCAGGAAAGGGATCATTGAAGGGGAGCCCACGTGCTGCTTTGAGTGTGTGGAGTGTCCTGACGGGGAGTACAGCGATGAGACAGGTAAGGGAGTGGCATCCCCTGGATACTGCAGGGCTCAGTCCTCATTAGCTGCCTGGGGTCAGAGAAGCCCACCGAAGGGCTGAGCTGAGATGGTGCCTGCTGCAGTTTCTCATTTCCCAGGGCATGGCTGAGTGCAGTGTGATACGAGGGGACACAGAAAAGGACTGTCAGGCGCCCTCCAGTACCATAAGTGCTCGGAAACATACCAGTTACCCAGCTTTCTCTGCCATCGCCACTGCTCTCCACTACTGTTTCACCTTCCTTAGAGTTCAGCGGCCCTAAGTAGACAAAGTGCCATCTGCTCTAGCTCCACAGTTAATAGGCCATGACAGATCACCTGCAGTGCCTGGCACTGTATTTGCCATCTTATGTTTTTCCTGTACCTCAAGTTCTTTTTAAGTGAGGATAATAATTAAACTTGCCTCACAGAGTTTTGAGAATTAAACAAATTAATATTGCTAAAGCACATGGTAAATTCATGATAAATTTAAAAGACAAATGTCTTTTCAATAAAACTTGGGCTTTCATATTGGGAGCCCTTTATAAAGAGTAACTATAATTGTTATTATTATCCCATCTCATTGTCACCACAGCAATGAGCTTATCATTGCCTCCATCCTACAGATGAGGAAACTGAGGCTTGGAGAGTTTCACAAGACTGACCAAAGTCACACAGCTAGTAAATGGTATGGCCAGGATCCCATCCACATCTCCAGCTGCAAAACCTGTGTTCCCTTTACTGCGCCCAACCGCACAGAGGCTGCCACACAACAAAGACTTAACAAACATTCGTTGCTTAAATGAATCTGCAACCTCCCTCATTAAAAGCCATGGTTAAGGATGGAGTATGGAATACACAGATCATATGCATAGGATACTGTCTGCCTCGACCTAAAAGAAGTCTGTTCTGGCATGTCTAAATGCCATCCACATATCCCAAATAATTCAGGCTGTATGTGAAATGACGAGTTAGTCTATTTTTCCTTATATATGTATGTACCCCACAAAACCATGTTACAAAACCCAAATATGCACAATAAAATTTATTTTTGGAAAACACCAATGAAATAAGTCAGGCAGAGCTGAAGTCGCTCTGTAAAGAACTAAAGACCTGTGCCACCCAGGGCAGTCTCTGCTACAAACCATCAGCAGATAACAGTAAGGAGACAGGTGCCACTGCTATAGAACCTGGACTAGAACTATGCAAGGCACATATTTTTATAGTGTAAAAATCAGGATGATTTCCTCCGTAAAGAAAATAGAAAGTGACACATCCAATACCCTGTGTCCTTACCACCACCTCACACAACCCGGGCCTGTGCCACCAGTAACTAGCTCTTTGCTGGGATGTTTTACAGATGCAAGTGCCTGTGACAAGTGCCCAGATGACTTCTGGTCAAATGAGAACCACACTTCCTGCATTGCCAAGGAGATCGAGTTTCTGGCGTGGACGGAGCCCTTCGGGATCGCGCTCACCCTCTTCGCGGTTCTGGGCATCTTCCTGACAACCTTTGTGCTGGGTGTCTTCATCAAGTTCCGCAACACCCCCATCGTCAAGGCCACCAATCGAGAGCTCTCCTACCTCCTCCTCTTCTCCCTGCTCTGCTGCTTCTCCAGCTCACTGTTCTTCATCGGTGAGCCCCAGGATTGGACGTGCCGCCTGCGCCAGCCGGCCTTTGGCATCAGCTTCGTGCTCTGCATCTCCTGCATCCTGGTGAAGACTAACCGTGTCCTGCTGGTGTTTGAGGCCAAGATCCCCACCAGCTTCCACCGCAAGTGGTGGGGCCTCAACCTGCAGTTCCTGCTGGTTTTCCTGTGCACCTTCATGCAGATCGTCATCTGTGTGATCTGGCTCTACACCGCACCCCCGTCCAGCTACCGCAACCATGAGCTGGAGGATGAGATCATCTTCATCACGTGCCACGAAGGCTCGCTCATGGCCCTGGGCTTTCTGATCGGCTACACTTGCCTGCTGGCTGCCATCTGCTTCTTCTTTGCCTTCAAGTCCCGGAAGCTGCCGGAGAACTTCAACGAAGCCAAGTTCATCACCTTCAGCATGCTCATCTTCTTCATTGTCTGGATCTCCTTCATCCCAGCCTATGCCAGCACCTACGGGAAGTTCGTCTCGGCTGTGGAGGTGATCGCCATTCTGGCAGCCTCCTTTGGCCTGCTGGCCTGCATCTTCTTCAATAAGGTCTACATCATCCTCTTCAAGCCCTCCCGGAACACCATCGAGGAGGTGCGCTGCAGCACCGCTGCCCACGCTTTTAAAGTGGCCGCCCGGGCCACGCTGCGCCGCAGCAACGTCTCGCGCAAGCGGTCCAGCAGTCTCGGGGGCTCCACGGGATCCATCCCCTCCTCTTCCATCAGCAGCAAGAGCAACAGCGAAGATCCCTTCCCACAGCCCGAGAGGCAGAAGCAGCAGCGACCACCGGCTTTGACTGGGCAAGAGCAGCAGCAGCAGCAGCAGCAGCAGCAGCAGGCGGTGACGCTCCAGCCGCAGCAGCCCCAGCAGTCACAGCCTCAGCCCCGATGCAAGCAGAAGGTCATCTTTGGCAGTGGCACAGTTACCTTCTCCCTGAGCTTTGATGAACCACAGAAGAACACCATGACTCACAGAAATGCCACCCATCACAACTCCCTGGAGACCCAGAAAAGCAACGATGGCCTGACCAGACACCAGGGGCTGCTCCCACTGCAGGGCAGGGACACAGACTCAGACCTGACCACCCAGGAAACAGGCATGCAAGGGTCGGTGGCAGGAGACCACCAGCCAGAGGTGGAGGACCCGGAAGAGATGTCCCCGGCATTCGTGGTGTCTAAGTCACAGGGCTTTGTTATCAGTGGGGGAGGCAGCGCTGTCACAGAAAACATACTGCATACATAAAATAAGAGGCAGCCTTCTGGGAAGAATCTAGAGAGAGCTGTTGGAAGCATAGGGAGGAGGAGTCACTGCAGATTCCTCTCTTCGAAGGAGAAAAGGATAATAGACATATTAAGTGCCCCAGACTTAGTTGCACTGCTTTAACTATGAACTGACTAATGTTCTCCTTCAAATAAAAAAAAAAAAAAGAAGAAGAGCCATGTATTTCTGTGGTTGCCAGAGCTTTGTGTCATGGTTAGATTTGCTATAATCCACACCCAAAATCTCTTCCACTGTTCTGTCCCACCTTGCAGATGAAACCAAGGCTGTAAGTGTCTACCTGCTCCCTCTTCTTTAAGCATGTGCATATGTACACACATATATATAATATATATATATATATACAAAATGCCCACCCAGCAAATCACAGACACCTATGGTCTGAATCATGGCCCAGAGGCGCAAGTGTGCAGGAGAAAAGGACATCAGGTTTCTGTCACCAGGGCTGCCCAACATCTTCACGGTGGAAGGAATTTTAAATGTTCAAAAACATCAGGGATGTGCATCCTATTTATGAAAACCATAAGCTATTTGATCTCAGTCTTCTCCTTGCTGCTGCTGTCCTGAGGACATCTAGCAAGTCTGCGTCCGTCCCGTAGCAATAGTATGCCTGGTTTTGTCCAAGATGTGATAGTGATGCTATGTTCAGACTCCAGGATTGCAAGAATCACCTCAAATTGTTGGGAAGGGAATCCAATGAGCTGTATCTATAATTCATATTGTTCTGTATAGCTCTATCCTTAAGAAATGCTTCTGTTGTAATGGTCCATGGACAATATAAGCTGAAAAATGTCACCGTCTGTTTTCTATGGGGCAGTGTTATTGAGCCCCGTTTTCCTTCCCATCCACCTCTTCACCCCCTCCCCCATGAGCAGAGCCCTTGTGACCCCTCTGTCAGTCTCAGAGGCCCGGAAGCTCCCTCCATCCTTGCCCCAAAGGCTTTCTGAAGCCAGATCCACACCTGACCCTAAGGAGAATAAGCTCCCAGTGCTTGGTCCCCTAATCTTTGCCAGGGTAAGAAAGTGTAACGCCACTGCTCCAGCAGGGGACACAGAGGTGTTCAGTGGCCACCTTACTGCTGAGCACTCAGACTCTGCAGCCAGAGAGACCAGGGTCCAGTCCTTGGCTTGGTCACTTGCAAACTGGGTGACCCTAGGGGGAAAACATAATCTCTCTAAGCCCCAGATTCTTTGCCTTTAAAATGGAAGTAATAATGACCCTTTCCCTGTGAGCTCTTACCAGATTAAGTGAGATAATGTATATAAAGTACATTAGTGTGGTGCCCAACACATAGTAGGCACTCAATAAATACTAGTGAATACTATTACTTATATCATAATTAGTATTTTTTTTTCAATTGTTTTAGACTATGCTAATATTTGGATTGTGGGTGTCTCCCATCACAGTCCGTGTGTTAAAGACTTGGTTCCCGTGGTGGTATTATTGGGAGGTCGTGGCGATCTTTGGAGGTTAGGCCTATTGGGAGGTCCTAGGTCATTGGGGATGCGGCCTTGAAGGGTATGTGGGGGCCACAGCCTCTTCCGCTTCTCGTTGCTTCCTGGCCGTGAGGTGAGCAGTCTGCTGTGCCACACACTCCCCATCATTGCCCTTTGGCATCCCTAAAAACAGTGTGTCCACCTGACCATGAACTAGAACACCTAAAACCACGAGCCAGAAGAAAACGTATTCTCTGTAATTATTAACCCTGGCAAAACATCCACAATGCTCCCAGACAGAGCGCCAGTCCTCCGGCCAGCTGCTGCCCCCTGCTGGTCATGCATCTGAGCAAGGCACAGAGCTGAGTGAGCATTTATATTCAGCATTTTACATACCTGGACTTCAAAAAAAGGTAAACCGCGTTTAGAGGAACATTCCTATCCTATCAGCACTCAGGAGACTAAGTCAGGAGGATCATTAGAGCGCAGGAGTTCAAGACCAACCTGGAGAACATAGCAAGATGACCCTTCAAGTAGAAAGAAGAAGAAAAGGAAGAAAAGAAAGAAAGAAAAAGAAAGTTATTTCAATGTCTTCCTTCGTTTTTCTCCCCCACTGCCATACTGGAGATTGAACTGAGGGTCTTCACACTGAGCTCCATCCTCACCCATTTTTATTTTTATTTCCTTTTTTATTTTGAGACAGGGGCTTGCTAAGTTGCTAATTTGCCCAGATTGGGTTTAAACTTGCAATCATCCTGCTTCAGCCACCCAGAGTGCTAGGATTACAGCCCTGTACCCCATCCCAACTTTAATGTCTTTTTTAAAAAATATGTCACAATAACTGTGTAGAATCAACTTCAGTAAAATGTTACCCATTCCTCCTTCCAGGGTTGCATTTCAGTGTACGCCTCACCAGAGTCACTTATCCTCCTCCTGTGAGGGAGGGTGAGGCCCAGAACGTGCAATGGTTCTGCTGATTTTTCATTTTACCAGTGCTTGCAAATAAAGTCACCTCTGCCAAAGTTCTCATCAGAAGAGTGGATACAATATTGTCATCCCAATGTATATTATGAAGGCAAATTCTCAGCACTAAATCAGAGGGATAAAATATAAACTTTCACTATTTTTCTGTAATAACAATGTTTTCTGTAATAACTTTTCAGTCTAATGACAGAAACTTCATCTCAGTCATAGTGGGGTAGATTTCTGCAGTGTAGAGTCGTGTAGTCAATTTTCTGTTCCTATAACAAAATACCTGGGGCACACTGACTTCATAAACAGAGGTTTATTTAGCTTCTAGTTCTGGAAGTACAAGTCCAAGGTCAGGCAAGCCCATTGGTTTGGCCTGTGGTCAGGGCCTAACAGTGAATGGCATCACAGTGGCAGACTGTGTGCAGGAAGAAGAGATCTCATCGCAAAACAGGAAGACAGTTCAGGGGTCACACTCACTCTTGCAACGGCTCACTCTCCTGAAAGCTCAGAGGTCCTGTGAGAATGACCTTCATTCCCCCTGAAGCAGAGCCCCCACTGGCCTGAGGACTTTCCATTGGGGCCCACTTCTTAACGGCTCCATTCTACCTCTCAGACCTCTAAGACCAAGGTTCCTAGAACCAACCCCTTGGGGTCACACTCAAACCATATACAAACCTTAGAAGCATCACATCTCTTTCTAGTTTCTAATCACAGAAGCCACAGTGGTTTCCATGGATGCATCGCTGTTTTGACTGGTGCTCCCTTCCTAAGTCTGCCAGTGCTCTCTGCTTCCTGTATGCCCACCCTTGGGGCTGGAAGCTGCCATGAGCTCTCACTGCCACATCCTACATAACTGTTGCCACCAAGACAGAATGGAGAATTCATGTAAGCTAACGAGTCAGTGTCCAAGGCATCAGATGAGATACAGGGTGTGTACCACCCCCAAACCTGTACAAGCTTTTCTGGTAGGCAGAATAATGTTCACCCCAAGATGCCCAAATCCTAAATTCCAGAACCTATAACAATATTAAAGCAAAAGTGAATTGATTGCTGATTGAGTTAAGTTAATTTTGAGGTAGGAACATTGTCTTGAATTATCCAGCAGGGCCCTGAGTAATCACACAGATCCTTAAACAGAAGAAAAAGCACAAGAATCAGGGCCGGGGCGGGGGAGGTAGGTTCTACCTCCATCACTGCCTTTGTGTAAGGAGGTGACCAGGAGTGAAGGAATGCCAGTAGAACACTCACGGATACTCTACCAAACTTCTAAAAGGAATGCACCCTTAGCAACACCTTGATTTTAGTCTTGATTTTAGCCCTTTTAGGACTTCTGACCTCCAGAAATGTGAGAAAATACATTTGTGTTGCTTTAAGCCACTAAGTTCCAGGTCATTTGTTTCAGCAACAAGAAACAGTACCTCTCTATCGTGCTCTATTTTCTGAAGATTTTCCTGCTCCGGGCAGCAGGCTGCGCCTTTCTCAGAGCCCTGTTCTGCTCTCACCATAGTGCTCTCCATTCCCACTAGCTCACTCCTCCTTCTCCCGAAAGGAGCCTGACCAATCCTCCATTCTCCAGATCTCTATGGGGAGCAATAAACCTTATGGTCTGAGTCTTTCTGCACTTTGGCGACAGGAAAGTAGCAGCCGTGTTGTCCGACCTATTATCTGTTAGTATTAGCAACCTGAAAAACAAGGGCTGCAACAAACTAGTGCGCGTTTTTCTCTTTCATAAAAGATTTCAAAAGATAAATATATGACCACCTTTTAGTCACTACTTTTGAAAGAGTCCTCAGGGTCTGTTGGCAATTTGAAACAGCTTGTCTTTCTTTTGAAAACCAAAAAAAAAAAAAAAATGTGTTATATAATTAGGAAGGGTTTTCTGTCAAGTGAAAGTTTCCTGGATCTTAAGAATTTAGTTGAGAACTTTACAGGTGATAATCGGCACATAACGTTATCACCCTGAAAGTCCCTACAGCCCATCACAAGTGGGAAGTTGAGGCTATCCTCCCTCTCTCTCCAAAAGTTCAGGGCAGTGTTGCCTGTCCTTCTGTCCCAGCTAAAGTCACATAGCTGTGGGTCAGCCCCGCCCAGAACTAGAGTTTCCCTTAGCTCACTGCGTGCCTTTGAAATTATCAGTGCTGGAGACCAACAGGGCGTGGGGGGAGGGGTACGTGTTTAATCACAGGACGGGGTGCCCTGCATGGGTCTGAGTCTGGGTGATCATTTCAGGAGTCCATGGAAGGAAACCTGAGTGAAACTGGGATAAGCGGGAGGCTGTTGTTGTAGTGAGATCTCTGGTCTCCAGGAGACTCCGGATTTCCCTACCCACGGGAAAATCCTAGGGGCTGGTGAGAACTTTGAATGAACTTTACCATTATGTGGAGAGTGAGGTAGGGGTCAGGGACCAGTCACTGGGATAAAGGTGCAGTCCAACGACAGGCAAAGGAGAGGTAGCCTTGGGAGGGACCACTCTGCAAGTGGGGTGATACATGGCGAATGACTAGATGCGACCCACAGGGGCAGGAAGCTGCACAGGACCAGCATGGAGGCACATCTGAGAAGTGGAGGGACCACAGCGACTGAAGCGCTGATGGAGGTGAGAAGGATTGTGTCCATTGCTGGGGGTGACCGCTGCATCCCTTCCCACCTCATCCCTGCACAGAGGGGAGGGAGCATGGAGTTACAGTAAGGGCTGGGGGGGCGGGGCTAGAGGGACAGAGACTGAGCGATGGGGTGCACCCCAGCTCCTGCCTCTGGGATGTGGCAAGGCCACCGGGATGAATAACTGGCATGGGAGGCTGGAACCATAGGAACGCTTAGTCCGGGTCTGAAGGGCCGGGACATGACGAGCTCGAAAGTTGACTGAACACAGGTAAGATGTCAGTTCTCACCAACACCAGGGATAGGTGCAGGATTTGATCCCTGACAGAAGCATCGGGAAACATTTTTGGAAGAATGTGATTGCCTTTCTTGACATCAACCCAAGTGTGGGTTATTTTTCAAAATCCTCTGATTTTCTTTAAACAAACAGAGATTCAATCCTGCTTGATGCTAATCTAATGAACGTTTCTGAGGTTTAGGGTTTTTTCCCACAGGTGTATGGGGGGAGTGTGGTCCTAGGGATTGAGTCCAGGACCTTGTACATACTAAGCAACCACTCTGCCTCTAAGCCGTCCACTGTAATCTTGGCTCTATTACTCCTGAAGTGGCAATGCAAATGCCTTGAATAAAGCCATGATTTTCCTCCCTTCTTCCTTTCCCTCTTCCTTCCCTCCCTTGTTTCCTCCTTTCCTTTTTTCTTTTCCTTTTTCTTTTTGCTTTTTGTTCAACAAAGTTATACAACTACAAATGAAAGAAGCAAATAAATGAGTTCTACTTTCCTCCCTGAGGCTCCTGCTGCTCATAATCCTCCTCCTTCATTTTCAGCACCACTTCATTCATGTTTTTCGTGTGGACATCTTGTTCACTGTCCTGCCCTCCCCTCACACATTGTTTCTTCATCACACGTTTCAACACAGTCCACGCATTTGTGTATCTTGTGTCCATGGGCGCCATTTTCTTGGCCATCCACTGGGTGTTGGATCTGGATTGGCTCCAGGTTTTTGTGCCACAACGCCCAGCTCTTGGCGAACCCTTCTTGTTCCATCACGCCATAGTGGAAGATGGAGAACTAAGACAGCAAGATTACAGGGAATGGGGCTGGGGATTTAGCTCAGTGGCAAAAGCGCCTGCCTGGCAAGTGCAAGGTCGTGAGTTCGGTTCCCAGTACCAGAGAAAAACCAAACCAAAAAAAAAAAAAAAAAAGATTACAGGGAATTAAAAGAAGATATCTGTGCACC